ACACGCGCACTTATATTAATTTTTAGTAAAATATTCAAAGAAAATTTATCAAAAAAAATAAAAATTAAAAGTAATAAAAATAATTTTCATTTATTGTTCTTATTGTTTTTTTTTTATTATTTTCAAATGACAATATTTTGTATTAATAAAACCAAAACAATTTTCTCCCTCGTCTGTAGAGAGCACATTAACGACAAATATTACGGTAACCCCAATTGGTAAATTTAAAACAATTTATTCTAAATTTTCAAATATTTTTTTTTTTGTTATTCTTGTTGTTGTTGTTTTTTTTACCTATTCTACGTGATTTGATTCCTTAATGATATTATTAAAAGCGCCCCTCTACAAATAAAATACGAAATCTAAGTTGTTTACACTAGTTGAAACTTTAGAAATTTTTCGTTTTAACATTAGACTCAAAATTACAATACGTAATTATACCTTAGGTTTAGGTACACATACAAAATATTTTATGTATAACAATATGTATAACATTTGTACGTGTACATTGTGCAAAATTGAATATAATTTGAATTTAATTCACTATAGACGAAAGGTGCGAAGTTTCAAAACAAAAAAAGACATTTTTTTTTTAATTTAATTTTTTGGAAAGAAAAACACAATTTAATGGTCATTATAGGGTTATTTAAAAAGTTTGTATATTTAAATGTCATTTGAGTTCATTGTATAGAAACTTTTTATTGTTCTCTATGGGAATATCGTGTATCTTGCTTATTAAAGGATTATTGGATTATATCTATAAAGACTAAGAGTGGCAAATCAGTATGAAAGGATGTTGACATTAAATAGTGACGAAAATTTGTTGTAAAAATGCGAAAATTAACTGTTATATTATGTTGTCTTGATTAAATTGTTGTTGCTAATAAATTTAACAATATTGACGGTATATATTACATAATGCACAACGTTGTTACATAAACTAAAAATCGAATTTTTTTTTAAAAAATTTTAAATTCAAACAATTATTTCTATTACGTTACAAAACATTACATTTACCCCGAAACCAATCATTTAATTTTTTACATCTGTGTGATGGAAACGGATAGTTTCTTTGCGACTGAAAGTTAAATTCTCGATAGGCCTTGTAAATCAGCCTGAAATAATTTTTTATTATATACATATATGTATATTATCCAGTAAATATTAATATCGAAATGAAATATGCAAACTTTACATTAACCTGTTATTTTGTAAATGCAACAAAAAGTATACTCCCGTTCTTACAGATCTACTTGTATGATTGCAGCAATTTTACAATAAGTATTTTATTTCTTTGTCAGATTTCGTGACTTCCATATTTTTGTAAAAATTGCGTTAACTTAGACGAAATATTACTTTGCGTTTAATATTCGAAGGAAAAAGCAGTGAGTGGTTCGAAAATAATCTTAATCCTTTCTATAAATTTTTAGAATAAATATAGCGTTGCAAGAATACATTAGACTCATTTTAAATTTTAAAGGTATCCTGAAAGTCAGGAATTGTTTAAATCTATTTTAGCAGGGATAATGTGAAAGTCAGTTTGACAAACTTTAAATAAAAATATTGTACTTTGGCGTACTGTCAGTTAAAATTCGATGGAAGTGAATTTACTGGAATGTGAAACCAACCAAATGTTTAAACATTGATCCAAAATTTTGAGTTTATTCTTATTTTCCCGCTTCGATTTCCACATTCTCGTGTTCACATTTAACATGTTCATAAGAAGTTAAGGTTCAAGCTCAGAAAATTATAAGCAAAGAATCTTTTATATTTTTCAACAATTTAATATGTGAAATTTATTTTTAATGCAATAACATTTTTAAATACTTGTGAATTTTACTACATAATTTTAGAATAACATTTAAATAATCTTTTATTACCTACATAATATTGGTATGGATTTTAACCAATACCACAATTCAATTTAATTTGGTTTTGCAACGAATTAAAAATGCATATGTCTTGACGATTGCTGCAATTACAATAGTTTGACTTTATTTTCAGCGTAACATTTTGCCATATTAAATGCTGCATTGCAATGATCTTTTCCTTTGAAATGCTTGCAAGTTTTCATAGCTTTTTCTAGTTCAGCTTTTGGAATTTTCTTAGAAAATTTCTTCTCAATTTCACTTTCTTTAATTTTTTCTTCTTCTAATATTTCGGTATGATCCATAACACATTTTACATAACATTCAAGATGTTCACTTGGTTTACTAATTTTTGAAAAATCACCTTTTTCTAAAAGTTCAATTTCAGCTATGGTAGCACCAGTTTTTTTCATACAGCTTTTATTAATATTTTCTGGATTCTCTTTTCCTTCCTTTTCAGCAGCTAAGACCTATATTAGTAATTCAAAAAAGACAGCAGTACAGATGGTTAATTTTAAATTTTTAAAAAAAATGATAAAATAAAAAATATTTTTATAAACAACCATACTTACAAAATCGAAAATAACAAATCCAAAAATGAAAAGAGTACCGAAAATTGCTGATGTGTTCATGATTTATTTTTAATCAATTAAATTTTAATAAAGATTAATTTTTGAAAATTGTTGTATGACTGATGTCAAGTTGAATGATGATTTTTTCAAAATTTTGTTGAAATTTATACTAAAAATCTCATGGATGTTCATCGTTTTCACGTTATACGATTCCTGATCAAGCATAACATGACAAGGTAAATTAACTGCAATAAAATATTTATTAAATTTAAATTTTCTTTTCAATTTAAGTAATGTTAAAAGTATTGCTAATATAAAATGTAACAGCCATGATAGCTACATATAGTTTTATTCATACTTTTTTATAAATATTTATTTATGTGTGTAATTCAATCGAAATTCACTCAATTTGCAAATTAATCTAAAACTTTACAATTTTTTAACAAATTAATCATTTAAATTAATTTTCCTCTGAAAATGTCCAAATTTTATCTCCACTTTCGTTACCTTATTTAAAAAATAAGCTTCAAGAGAGCCATAATAAACAAAATCATAAGCAACTTTTGAAATTCACCTTGCCATTGGGAAACCAAATCATTGCTTAGGAAAATTTTCACAAAATTTAGTACACCGATATTTCCATAATTCTTCACATACGTAAAATTGTACCTGATGCTTTGTTATAGTTAAAAGTTATTTCATAAACTTTTTTGGAATAAATCTGACTCCAACTGTACCCAATAATCTTTTACACGAATTAAACATCTGCAAAATTATGCCTTATTTTTTTTTTTGTTAATTTTTATTCAAATTAATTCAGTGTTATTGTTTAAAAAAGGGTTGGTTTAATAATCTTTAATGTAGGCACAAATTATTTTTTTTTTTTGCACAATAGTTAATAGAGATTTCCATATGTTGAACCCATAATAATTATTCAATCAGGCATTTTTTACACATCATTTAACATATTTAACTTTCAATTTTGCAAAAATCAAAAAAACAAATACAAACAAGAGGGAGCACTTCTTAGAAAGTGAAAATTAATCAAAATTCAAAAAAAAAATCCAATGAAGTTGTAATTTATATGCCTTTCTATTGTAGATACGAGATCTAATTTTAGGTAATTTTCTTATTTATATATAAAGATTGAGGCATGGACAGCAATGGCTTATTATTTTCAGCCAAAATATAATGTATAAGCAAACTTCATGAACTATCTAAAGAAAAATATAAAATTGAGGATTTATAAGCAACAACAAGGCTTAATCATTTCAACTCTATGCTGATGCAGAGAGATTTGCCCCACTTTTTAACATTAAAATACCTGCATTCTGGCGTAGAAACTACAATATCTAGAAAACCGTTGTCTGCTCGGATATTATTTGTATGTTAAGTCGCAATAAAATCACTCGTGAAACTGTATCGTTAGTTCCAATATTAAATATTTTAGTAAAATTTTTGTACCTCTATCGCAGCTTTCACCACTTTCGTTAGTTACGTTTAAAAAGGCTAGTTTAAAAAAAAGTCAAATTAGGAACTTTTCCCTAAAAAATATTTCAACATTTTGTATATTATATTTATACTATGCATTTTTCAGGTTCGAATATGTTATGCGACGAGATTAAATTACAATGGACAATATTTAGCGAACAATTCAATAATCTATCAATCAATTATTAATACACAATAATGTAAAAATATTCAATTGCCAGCAGATGGTAATAAAATTTATTCAGAAATGATCCGTTGATTAATAGAAACTTTTACAAGATTACAATGAATTTACCATAATATTATTCGCCATACATAGTGTGCTAGATTATATTATATACATATATATTACATATACCGGTGACGAAAACCATATTTCCATAATAAAAATTATGATTAATCTTTTTATATGCTCATAAATTTCAAAAAAATCTCAATACGATACATGGTTTCATAGTGATACACATTAAAAATATTAATATTTTTAGAAAATTATGTCATACGATAAGTTTTCCGCTCTATCAGGATGATAAATTTGACAATAACATTTAAATTTTAGGATTTTTTCTTTAAAAAATTAGCATAGTTGATGCAATGAGAATGAACTTAAATGAAATCCTTTTGAGATTTTAATTTCAAAGCATGTAATCCAACTGCATATTTGAAAAATTTTACAAAAATTGTAAAATTACAAAATAGTTAGAAAATTTTAGTGTCATAGAAGTTAGCGTTGTAAGTGTGCTTGGAAAGTACTTTAAATTTTTTTTTGTAAAATTTTTTTGAATGTGAAATGAAATTGCATAGAAACCTTGAAAACTAATAATTGAATCCGAATCTCTTATTTTTAGATTCTCGGTTCTTTGTTTCTGAACTTTTTACTTTTTTGAAATTCTCAAACTTATGGCGACTTTTTGTGCCTTGTTTAAGGTCATTTGCGGTGCCATTTCTTCTGTTTTCTTTACCTGTACGAGTTTATTCCTGTAAATTCTAATAAATGGTTTTCATAGCGAACTAAAAAGAACTTTCTTATAAAGAACTTTCTTAAAATAAAACACAATTATATTTCCGATTTCGCTTTCAAAATATACCATAAAAGATAATAAATATATTTACAAATAGAAAAGTCACGGTCACATACAAACTTATATCTAAAATTCAAATAAAAAAAAAAAAAGAAAAATGTTTTTTTTTTATCATTAACTTTTTTCCCAAAATTTTTCACTATGCCTGTTTTGTTTTCCTATACCTTAAAGCAGCACTTTAGTCTTCATAAGAACATGTTTATTTTTTTTTTTTAATTCTGTTGTTGTATATAGACTTTTTACAGTAATATTTATCTTCTCTTTCTGTGATGTAATCCAGCATTTTGTCGCAAGTAACATAATGCTAAATCATGTGCACGTTCACAGGCATTTTCGCCTTGTGGATTTTCACATTGGAATGTAATTCCTGTTGCAGTGTCAAGATCATAACCCATACTTGTCAATGAACCCATAATAACTGATGTTTGAATTTGTCCATCACGTAAAATTCCAAGACGTTCAAAAACACATTCGATCCAACATTTTTCATTAAAATCTAAGTCTTCTAAATTACCACTACCTATACGTTTTAGTCCTTGTTCACTAATTCTAATTAAATTAGTACATTCTTGTCCAAATTCTTTTAGTTGCTCCTTTTGTTCACCAGAAAGGCGAGCCTATAAACATTAAATTCAATATTAAAAATTTACTTTTCAATAAAAAAGTTATTTAGTATATTTTTACCGTTGTATATGATATACATATAACAACTATAACAAGCGATGTTATAAACTTCATTCTGTTGTTATCCTTTCAATCCCCGTAACTATTCGAGAATGAACTGATCAAAAATTCTATTTGTCACTGTTATTTATACTTAGCACAAAATATTTAATATGTGCATTAAAATTATATTGTCATTATTAATATTCTAGAATACAAACTGAAATAAATTTGCAATTGAATTGATTTATTTCAATAAAAATTATTCGAAATTTTGAATTAATCAAAATTTTGGTTGCGGTTTTTATGATATTTTTTTTTCATTATGTAGGTAAAGGTACGTTGTACCACCTTATTTAAAATTGTTTATATAGTTGCTAACAAAATACTGTAATACTTTAGGTATGCTTGTCAGAAAAAATCTTTAAATTTAGTCCAAATTTAATGAAAAATCAAATGTGCAATAAAAAATTTTGAAGTTTTTGGGAGAACAGCACCCTCTTGTATATTCGTAGTTCGTATAGAGAATGTGAATTTATATTGGGCCGATGCGAATAATTTTTTACTAGTAAGTGATTTTACTATAAAAATCTGATTTAAACGACTATAGTTACTGTTAAAATCTTTAAAATTTTAAAAATTTTTGCAGTCATTTTGAAGGAATATATCATCCATCCAATAATAGCATCATTCCAATGGAATAGTATCATTTGGGATAATGGGCAATAATTCTATGGGCAATTCAATAAATACAATAAATTGTAATATGGTCAATTTTAGAAAAATCAAAATTCGATACTTAAAAAAAATATAAAAGTTATTCTATATCAATTTTGTATTGACATTTTATACGTATTTTTGCATTAGTCATCATTTACGTTGTCTGAATATTACTAGCTTTTTAAAAATAATCTATACTTATTTCAAAAAGTAAAACAATATTGCTCCCAAGAACATTTGCTTCTGTAAAAAATTAAAAATTTGTCATAAGTTTAAAATTTTCATTCAATATAGGTAGTTTAGATTCTAGAAGATTATTCTATAAATTAAATATTTGTTACTAATTTCATGTATTGCAATAGGCCAGATTAATAAATGAAAGAAATAGATTCTGAAATCAAAATTCTTTAATTATCAACTTAATATAGGGTAATTAATTCTTATGGGATAGAATTCTAATAGAATGTAAAAACAAAAAATCTGATGTGGTCAGCACATAACCGACCGCATTGTGTATTGTCTAGTTAAATGAAAGTGTTACAGAATATTATAAAAATGTCTGTTAAATACTTCTTTCCAATTTTTAGGACATTAGTAAGCTTATAGTTAACTTACCTAGAGAAATGTAAATTTGGCTCTTAGTAGAGTTTCGCTTTGTGCTACCCGAATTCCCTGAAATTCTCGCCAGTTAGTTTCGGTAACAACCAGAACCCAAATATCAAATTTCAAGAAATTCCATCAATTTGTTCTGTGGATATGGTGAAAAATGTAAAATCGGCCCGCAAATCAATTCTCGAGCCCTGATCTTTCCAAAAAAGTTATATGTTCATTGCTTTAATATGAGGAATTCATATATTAAATTTCAATGAAATCGGTTGATTATTTCTCTTTATATACACAAAAGTGTATGTTTGGCCCGTAGTAAACGTCTAGTTGCCGATGCCTGATCTTTCCAAAAAATTTACATGTTCATTGTTTTAATACGGGGAATCCATATATTAAATTTCAATGAAATCGGTTGATTATTTCTCTTTATATACACAAAAATGTATATTTGGCCCGTATAGTAAACGCCCAGTTGCTGATGCCTGTTTTCTTCCAAAAGTTAGAAATTTTTGCGTATGATCGAGCAAAGCTTATATATGAAATTTCAAGTAAATCGGTTGAATACTTTCTTCAAAATGGTGAAAAATGTAAAATCGGCCCGCAAATCCGTTTTCGAGCCCTGATCTTTCCAAAAAATTTATATGTTCATTGTTTTAATACGAGGAATTCATATATTAAATTTCAATGAAATCGGTTGACTATTTCTCTTTATATACACAAAAATATATATTTGGCCCGTAGTAAACGTCTAGTTGCCGATGCCTGATTTCTTCCAAAACATACGAATTTTTGCGGACGGTCGTGCTGAGCTTATATATAAAATTTCAAGTAAATCGGTTGAATATTTTCTTCAACATTAGAAACTAGAATAATAAACAGTTTTGATATAAGCTATGGTCATTATCTCATTTATAACACGTTAACATAAAACTCATTATATTCATTATCATTATAAATGAGTCATTATCTCATTTATAACACGTTAACATAGTGCCATGGTGGAAACAAACTTACATATAAAATTTCATAAAAATCGGTTCAGCCGAATTTGAGATACACGCGTGCACACACAGACCGACAGACCGACAGACAGACAGACCGACAGACCGACAGACCGACAGGTTGCTAAAAATAGTTTATTTACACTTCCCTACTATGGAGAAGTACGTTCCCACCGAAAACTCGATATGCAAAATTTGTTGCCATCACATAACCTACCTATTGTTTACACAATACGGTCGGTAAAAATAATTTAAAATATAAAAGATCAATTTTGTATTACTTCTAATCTATAACTTTTTGCTATTGCTCTTCCTTGTCATAATATTCTTATGCATTTCAGCACTGTATAACATTATTGCTCAGAATAATTTGATTTCTGTAAAGTTAATAAAATTAATTCACGTTAAGGAAGAATATATTGCATAATTTCCTTTGAAATTTTATAAAATTTTTTTTCAAATAAATTTTTTCAATAAAAACTTATTTCAAAATTATAATACAAAAGCTATATACCGTAAAAACAAAGCTTTTGTACGCTTTTGAAATTACAAATTCTTTTCGATTATTATTCAACTATGAAATGAATAAATTCAATTACTGAAGCAAAAATTTAAATTTTCAATGAATTTGAATTAGTTTTAGTAATTTTCTAAAATAATATTAACCTTTCATACCACTAAGTTAAGTTGTTTTTTATTGCAACAATTTCTGGAACAGGCACTTCTTAAGAAACTTCATTTATATTAAAATATATTACTTAATAAGAAATCTTATCAATGTTGTTATCGAGACTAATAAAACACTAAACACCGATAGATGACATTCTTAGCATAATTTTTAAAAAAAGCAATTCGACTCATTACAACTACTTGAAAACTTCCCAGTTCGGTTATTTTAGCGGTTTTTGATAAAATTCTTAGCTAAAGGTTATTCTGTTTAACTGGAAACGAATAAAAACTTGTGTACTAGCTGACAAGTTTCAGAAACTTCCAAATTTTAGGAAAAATAAATTCAATTCGTTGGATTTTTTTTTGAATTAGAGTAGTACTATAGTTTTATGTTAACGTGTTATAAATGAGATAATGACCATAGCTTATATCAAAACTGTTTATTATTCTAGTTTCTAAATAGCAAGGTATTTTTTTATGATAGTGAAAATTTTTTAATTTTTCACATTTTATTAGAGCCCTTAAAATATTGAAATAGAAATAGTTTTTGTGCTATACCTCCAGTACCATAAACGGATTTTTAGGGTTTAATTACTTAAATTAAAGCTTAAGTAACTGGACAAAATTCTGTAGAAACAAATTTCAAAGTTTCAAAAAATTTTGTATGAAATTATGGGGTAAAATAAAACTAAATAAGGAAAAATTTGATTTTTTTTAAAGTTCGAATGCTTGGTATTCCGAAAGTACATGAAATACAAAATCAAGCAGTATTTTTCTTTCAAGCACCTTATTAGTCCTTTCAAAAACTGTTCACTTGAAGCTTCTGTCTTTTTCGGTAGCGAAGTTTTAAGCAGAAAAGGTTGAGTAATTAGAAATTTCGTCAAAATTCGTTAAAATTCCTGTATCTTGGAAACCGCTGAGATTTGACAACTACTTCCAAACTTTCTAAAATTTCTTTTAACAACTATTTGTAATATTTTCTAAAATTTCTATATCAATCGCCCTCTTGAAACAATGGTTAAGAAATAATTTAGTTATTGAAATAAAATTAAAAATTAGTTTTAAAAAGCTCATGAAAGAAATGAAAAATATTTTGAACATTTTATGATCTTTCAAGCTTTTCCTTAACACTTTTATCAAAATCAATTCCCTACATACATATTTTTAGAACGGAAATAATAAAAGAGTCTAAAATAATATTAAATTATCCATATCGTATAGTTTATCATTTCCTTCAATTTTCTTTATTAATTTTTTTTAGACGAGTAGACTTCATTAAAATAGATATGAAAAATATTAACAAGATTGAAATCAAATTAATTTTTATAATATTAAAAATTTTGCTAAAATTTTAAATACGTTATTATGATAAAGAAAACACCAAAAACTTCTAAATCACGCACTCATAATCTTCTATTATGAAATTACGCATACAAACACATTATATTGTACAAATATGCATTTGCGTACACATCACATTGTGGTTAGTATAAGGTGGCAAATAATTTCAAGGATAATCTTTGATCAATTTGCAACAAAAAATAGTGAGAGTGGGGGGTTGTGGTGCAGAAAACAATTACCTTTTAAACAAGTCGGATGATTACATGGTTCCAAAGCTAAAAGCATTTACTGCACTTTGAAAACGAGTACATCTGCACTCCCTCCTTGCCATTCACCCATATGACTTTTTACTGGAAATTAATCAAAGAATCATCTCTGAAATTATTCGCCACCTTACGCAAAACACCCTGTTTAATAAATAATAATTATAAGCATTGCTTATTTCTGAATTCATAAATGTCTACTTCAAAGTTTGTGTCATCATTGAAACAATTTGGGTAGTAAGTTATAACCAAAATAAGAAATTGTAAGTGTAAAACCCCATTTATTTCATTTCCTTATTATAATTTTTTTTTTCTACTAAAATTTATTTTTAACGGTTTATGTGCTTATTATAGCGTTTATACTTATAATTTTTAAGAACAATTCAAAACACTTAAAACGCGATCCTTATAAAAAGAAAATGTTTTCCCTTACTTGTGCTTTTTGTGCTCTTTTATTTCAAGGATAATTTTGAAAATATTTATTTTATCAAAAAATTAAATAGGAAAACATGAAAAAATAAAATAAATACGTACAAAGTTTA